TATATATATATATATACAATGCAGTATTGCTCGGCAATCAAAAAGAATGAAATCTTGCCATTTGCAGCTACGTGGATGGAACTGGAGGGTATTATGCTAAGCGAAATTAGTGAGAGAAAGACAAATATCATATGACTTCACTCATATGAGAACTTAGAGACAAAACAGATGAACAGAAGGGAAGGGAAACAAAAATAATATAAAAACAGGGACGGGGACAAAGTATAAGATACTCATAAATATGGAGAACAAACAGGGTTACTGGAGGGGTTGGGGAGGGGGGATGGGCTAGATGGGTAGGGGCATTAAGGAATCTACTCCTGAAATCATTGTTGTACTATATGCTAACTAATTTGGATGTAAATTAAAAAAATAAAATTAATAAAAAAAAAATAGCATTAGCTGGTGCAAAGTGCCCAAATAAAGAAAAACAGGTTTTTGTATCTTTAGAGTGTCTGGTTCAAGATTTCCCTGGGGTCAGCTTAAAAAAGAGAATGGACATTTTCCTTTCATTCCCTTTGGTTTATCATTTGTGGGAATGTGGAAAGGGAAAGTTGGGAGCAAAGATAGCTGTCTACTGAATATATATTTGAATTTTTATCTCTGAAAATATTTGGTAAAATCAAAGAAGTTACTATTTGCTTCTTTAAAGATAACACTTTTTCTGATGGTTTGTGGTCTATAGAAGGAACTGGTGCTTCTCAGAAGTAGAAAAATTGTTGCATCCCAAGTGGTCTTTCCCTTATGAGAGTGAGAGTTCTTAGAGACCTCTTTACAGTCTTCATGATTGTAACTGACCCAGAACGGTTAAAGGAATCTGTGATTTCATTTTTATACTCATGCATTGGAAAGAGGGTAAAGCATCCTCTATTTCAGTTTTATCTATAATGATCCATAAGCAGGGGTTAATTTTGTGAGATTTGGGATGTCCAGTAGTGATGTAAGGCATTCCTTTCCTAACTTGGTCTTTTTTTGGCTTTATTTTTCTGAATGCCTGTCTTTGGGATGTAGTTCTCCAAGTTGCAGAGTAAAGTGGAGACAGCTGAGTCACGAGTTTCTGTCCTGGAGTCCATGATCGATGACCTGCAGTGGGATATTGACAAAATCCGAAAGAGGGAACAGCGACTCAACCGACACTTAGCAGAAGTCCTAGAACGGGCAAGTGCTCTTTCAGTCATAGTTTAGAGACTAGAATCATTTTTAAGGAGTACTGAGAAAGGACGGACTTCGGGGTACCTGGGTGGCTCAGTTGGCTAAGTGTCCGACTTCAGCTCAGGTCATGATCTCACATCTTGTGGGTCCGAGCCCCGCGTCGGGCTTTGTGCTGACAGCTCAGGTCCTGGAGCCTGCTTCGGCTTCTGTATCTCTGTCTCCCTCTGCGCCTCCCCTGCTTGTACTCTGTCTCTCTCAAAAATGAATGTTAAAAAAAAAAAAAGGGTTGATGGACTTGGGTAGTAGTACCTGGGGACACAACGGACTCTTCTGAAAGTGCTTTGGTTATCAGACTAAAATCTTAGGGTCTCTCACTAAAGAATCTTTGTCCTTCCTATAGGTGAATTCGAAAGGTTATAAGGTCTATGGAGCGGGGAGCAGTCTCTATGGTGGCACAATCACTATCAATGCCCGGAAGGTAAAATCAATGACTCACTCAGGTCACATTTCCTACCTAGTGTTAGGTGTTGTGCGAGGTACTTAGGGGTTTACAAGAGGCAATGGGGTTTTGCTAGAAGAATGGATCAGTGAAGGTGGAAGCTTAGGAATGGGAATGATTTGAAAATTCTTTCTTTTTTATGCTTATTTTGTGATTTTCCTCTTTTCTCCAGTTTGAGGAAATGAATGCAGAGCTTGAGGAGAACAAAGAGTTGGCTCAGAACCGTCACTGTGAGCTGGAGAAACTTCGGCAAGACTTTGAGGAGGTCACTACACAAAATGAAAAGCTGAAGGTAGGAGATGTGTCTCTGAAAGGCAGTACCATGAAACGTTTTGCTGGTCAACTCACATATGTACTGGTGAGCTCTCATAATTTATGAGGGAAGAGGAAGATGTAAGTTTTGTTGGTGGGTCTACTTATTTACTTACTATTTGGACCCCCCCCCCCCCTTGCTCTGCAAAGGATTTCAAGCAACTTCCAAAGATCTATAGACTGAATCAAAGTGCTCTAACTTAGGAATTGTTGATAAAAATGAGGAGTAGGGTAAACTAAGGTGATGATCCAAAATGGAGTTGACAAAATGGGGCTTGTATACAAGATATATGCAAGGAGCATGTACATACTGTAGTAGGGTAGGCTGCTCACGTGTTAGGAATTGCCAAATGTGGGTCATACTGTTTGCCTGTGCAATTTCTAGCCGCCAGAGCAGAGAAATGATCAGTGACCGATTCTGTTGGTTTTTGAACATGCCTGTTAAAATTTTCTGTCCCCGGGTTCTTGGGGAAAGAAAGTGAATTCTAAGAGTCTTCCTACCCCTCTTTCAGTCATAGCCACATGTCTTTTACAATTTGATTTGTTTCTAGGTAAATATATGAATAAAGATGTTTGAAGTGAAAAAACAAACAAAAAAAAAACCTGACTTAAATTAATTGAAGTGTTTGGGTAATTCAAGCAAACCATTGCTTAAGAGAAGCCTAACTATTTTTGATACAATGTCAAAATATATCTCTCAGAGACTGTTAATACAGAGAACAAGTTAATGACAGAAATCCTCAATTATGTGTTAAAAACAAACATCCTGGGTTTTCTGTGTCTCTACATCTGACAGATTTCAGAGCGCTCTTCTAGTGTCCTTGGGTATAGGCTGACACACAGTGTAAAACACATATCAATTAAAACAATTCTTGGGTGGAGACTAGAGGTCCCTGGTGTTACCTCCTGGATAGTTTAATTTGATGCAGATTTTACAGAACTAGAAGAGTGGAGATATAATCCAGAATCTTCATAAAGCTTGTCTCAGTCGCACAGGACATCACTGTAAGGTTTTGTTTCCTGTCTAGTGTGTGGGGCACAGACGCTAGATTGTGCTTCTGACTTGTCTTCGGGCCCCTCAGGTGGAATTGCGGAGTGCGGTGGAAGAGGCAGTTAAGGAAACTCCGGAATACCGCTGTATGCAGTCACAGTTCTCCGTCCTGTACAACGAGAGCCTACAGTTGAAAGCGCACTTGGACGAGGCCCGGACTCTGCTGCATGGCACCAGGGGGACCCACCAGCGCCAAGTTGAGCTCATCGAGGTAGCAGCCCAGCTTTGTCTTTTGCGCATCAGCTTTCCTGCCTCATAAATTTTATAATTTTTCCCCCTTGCAAGCAATTACTGCTCCTCCAGCAAACATGTATAGAAAGGCCATAGGTCTTTACTCTGCTCGATGGTGGGCATCCTGCCATGAGAGATCATACAGCCTGGTGGGGAGAGTATAGTCCATTAGAATGCAGGTACAACAGAGGCATGGCCAGGAGAGGCAGTGATTAAGGAGACAGAGCATCTCATTTGACTGTGGAGACTTCCTGATTCCACTTGCCAAAGTGAAGTGTGAATCTTAAGTTTGCTGATAGAAAAAAATAGGAGAAGGGCATTTCCAGAAGTGAAAAGAGCAGATTTAAAAATAGTGTAGAATGGCTAGAGCCTTTTGTGCATGGGAGAGAGAAGTGGGTGGAAGCTGCCTCACTTTACAAGCCCTTATAGCATGTGAGGGCCAACGTACAAGCCGTTACGACATGCAAGGGCAAATGTGAATGCTTTATTTTAAGGCAGCTTATTCACGTGTTCGCTTCTGTATCTTCCACAGTCGTTAAGGTAGTGTTAGTAGTAGTTGGTCTTTTACTCTGTCTGCCAAAAGAATCGAATTTAATATGTCTTACCTTACATATGTTTATGTACTGTTTTATTGTTTAGTACTCCAAGTAAATGACTACGTTCTCAGAGTGAGGAGGCATGTCCTCTATTTTTTTAATATCCTGCCAGTCTGCAAATCAGTCTTTGTAGCTGCCTGGTGCTTGTTAAATATAGACTGAATTGGAATTTTTCAGAGTAATCCCTTCTAGTAGATCCTTTTCTACTTCTTAGATCGGTCAATTAAGAAACCTAGTAACAGGATGTGATGTCTTCACATTTTGATAAGAATTTTTGATTGGGTCCTTTTTCTGGGTGTAGCGAGATGAGGTTAGTCTTCATAAGAAGCTGAGGACCGAAGTGATCCAGCTGGAAGATACTCTGGCCCAGGTCCGCAAGGAGTATGAAATGCTGAGGATAGAGTTTGAGCAGACCCTTGCTGCCAACGAACAAGCAGGTATAATTATTCTCACTCCATCCTGCGGTTTGCTGCAAGTGCCTTCCTTCAAAAACACAATGTGGTTCCCTGGATTTGTTGGTATGAATGGAGCTTGGGTGTCCCAAAGAACCTTAAATCAAATCACTGTAATTCATTTTGGCTCACAGCCTGGGTGTTTGTTTTTTAAGATTGGCCAGTTTTGTTTTCCTCTTCTGAGAAGGAATCTTGCTTTTGGTAATTTTCCCAGTTTCTCAGAGGTCCCTGATGGGTACTGCGCTTTCTATCCTTGTGCCTTTTTCCTTATCAGAGTTCTTCCTAACATTGCTGTTGCTGTATCTAAGGCCCCATAAACCGGGAGATGCGTCACCTCATCAGTAGCCTCCAGAATCACAATCACCAGCTGAAAGGGGAGGTCCTAAGGTATAAGCGGAAGTTGAGAGAAGCCCAGTCTGACCTGAACAAGGTAACCAGGAAGTGCAGAATGAGTGTGATTTGCTGTTGAGTTTGGAGAGCTGGTTTTGAGTGAGGAGAGGAGTGTGGCTGCCACAGGTGATGTGCTGCTTTCTGCCTCTGTCCTCCAGACGCGCCTGCGTAGCGGCAGTGCCCTCCTGCAGTCTCAGTCTAGTACTGAAGACCCGAAGGACGAGCCCACGGAGCTGAAGCAAGATCCTGAGGACTTACCTGCCCAGTCCTCTGCATCGAAGGCATCTCAGGAGGAAGTCAACGAAATTAAGTCCAAACGGGATGAGGAAGAGCGAGAACGAGAAAGGAGGGAGAAAGAGAGGGAGCGAGAAAGAGAGCGGGAGAAGGAAAAGGAGAGAGAACGAGAGAAGCAGAAACTAAAAGAGTCAGAAAAAGAAAGAGACTCTGCTAAGGACAAAGAGAAAGGGAAACATGACGATGGAAGGAAAAAGGAAGCAGAAGTTATCAAACAATTGAAGATTGAACTCAAGTAAGAACAGAATTTAAAGTATCTGTTTCTGACTCAGAAGCCAAGGTTAGGACATCACGCATGAAATGTTGGGTTGATGGCCTGGCTTACAGATCATTGTAATATTTTGGGTGTAACTAAATGCACAGTTAATTATGATCTCAGTTATTGATTAAGTGTACCACCCAGATGGCTTGCATGGGCTACCGTGTAGTCTGGTTCAGTGGTCGGGTCTCCGTAAACGCTGCAGCTGTAGCCTGCAGAATCTTCATGATTCCAAATTAAGGGGCAGTGTGTCATGACTTAAGTAATACTCATGAGAATTATTGAAACTAATTACTGGCAGCTTGCCGGCATGAATTTTAATTTAAATTATACTGGGTTGAGTTTGTATCACTGTAACTTGAGCAATATTGATCTGTTTGCCTGGCAGTTAGCTGGTTTGTGTATGTATCAGGTCATTTAAGACATTTCTTAGGTTTACTCCTGCAGGCATTGAAATGGTAAGACGAACCTTGTGGTTAATGAAACACCCAACGTAATGTCACATACTGCTCCTTCTCTTCCTGCATAACCAATACTTTCTCTGGTAGATCTGGTTATTTCTTGCCTCCCAATGGTCATGGTTGTGCCTTTATTGATACTTGGATTTGAATGACAGCTGTGCTCAAAACATTTGAACTTCTTTGGTATATAAAAGTATAGGTAAGAGGCCTGATAATTTAGTAAGAGATGGAAGTTTCAGCCTTCAGCTGATGGCTGATCACTCCACTATCAAATCTAGTTTTCTCCCCTTTTTTTTCTTCCTTCCTCTTAATTGCTTTAAGGCAAATATTTTTTTTTCAAGTGTGGTATCGGAATCACCTGGATGACTTCTTTAAAATATGTTCCTGGACCCCATCACAGACCCACTGAATCTCAGTTTCTAAGAGTGGGGCACCAGAATTTTGCCTATTTAATTAGGGCCACGGCATGTATTTTATAACTTTATGTTGGAGAACGTGGTGTGAAGGGAGAAATGACTCCATTATCCAGCTTGCTTTTCTGTAGTTTCTGAGTGTATCCACAAGTCTCCTGACGGTCTGTGTGAAAGTTTCATCTTTTAGATCTGTGACATAAGGTGTACATAGAACTGTTGTAAAATATTTTGCTCAATTCAAAATTCCCTTGCTCTGATGTCCTTTGTTTTCTCATTGCACCATCCCCCTCCCTTTATCACCCTCATCATAGGAAGGCACAGGAGAGCCAAAAGGAGATGAAACTATTGCTAGATATGTACCGCTCTGCCCCAAAGGAACAGAGAGACAAAGTTCAGCTAATGGCAGCTGAGAAGAAGTCTAAGGCAGAGGTAATCTAGTCTGCCATTACCTGTCATTCTGGTTAAAATCTTCATTTGTGGGATTTTCCTTCACATTTCTGAAGGATATAGGTTTCTTTCTTCATCTTTAAAGTTAGTGTTTAAAACTCAGGATTTTCTTCCCTTTCAGGGACCATCTAAAATAAAATAGATTTCTGTACTCTCCACTAGGTGGTAAGGTATATCAGAATTTCTGGGAATAGGAGTAACCTTTTCAGACTTTTTTAGTACCTCTTTCCCATATAAATCATTGTTACGGTGAGTCTCTTTTCTGGTTATTTTTGGGAAGAGTGTCTTATTCTCTTAAAATTTGGGGGCCTTAAAAACAAATGGTGAGAGCCACCATCCCGAAGGAAGGTGCACGTGCACTCCTCACCAGCGGTGCGTGTACAAGTGTGTGAAGTGTGATGGGTGCACTAGGATACCCTTTGTCTCTTTTCCCGGTTTGGCCAAGTTTCTCCCAGTTTGGGGCCCTCCATCTGTGCACAGGATTAACTGAACTTTGACATTGTATCATAGCCTCTTCTTTTTGTGTGTGCGATTCCTTACTTTCTCTAGTTGGAAGACCTGAGGCAAAGACTCCGGGATCTAGAGGATAAGGAGAAAAAGGAGAATAAGAAAATGGCTGATGAGGATGCCTTGAGGAAGATCCGGGCAGTGGAGGAGCAGATAGAGTACCTGCAGAAGAAGCTGGCCATGGCCAAGCAGGTGGGTGCACTCTCTTCAGTTAGTTAGGTTTTTCAGTAAATGTTGCTTGACAGCTAAGTTATTGACAGTGAAATTTGCGCTTTCATTCTAGTCTTTTCTTTCTGTGAATGTCTTTTACCCTACACATATGTTTGTTTTTACATTGAAGTCTTTCATTCTTCAGTTATTTTGTTTTACATATTTGTGAGGCAGGAAATTTCCTGTTATTTTCAAATGGATAGCCAGTTGTTCAGACATGGTTTATTGGGGCATCTGTCCTTCCTCTGCTGATCTGGAATCAGGGATATAGTGAGTATTAATGAAAAAATATATATATAAATTTTTATATGCATTATGATTACAAATATCTGAAACTAAGAAAAACATGCCCCCAAATAGGTTATAAATAAGTAACCAGTATGTTAACTGTGGTTGTCCTCTGGGCCCTAGAACTGGAGAGACTTTTCCCCTACTCACCATGAACGTATATTTATTTTTAAGTCTCAGGGAATTATATTAACTTTGAGGAATAAAGATAACCAAAGATGGAAAAATGTATGTTCACTGTGAGGAACAGCTTCACTGTTTCTAAGAAATAGCAAAATGACAAAGTGAAGTGGTTTTAGTGGTGACTTGATTAAGTACCTTGAGAAGATGAACTTTATTAGAACATATATGCATTACAAAATTTTTGTAATGTTTATTTTTGAGAGAGAGTGAATGTGAGTGGGGGAGGGGCAGAGAGAGAGGGACAGAGGATCCAAAGTGGGCTCTGCTCTGACAGCAAAGCCCAACATGGGGCTCAAACCCACGAACCGTGAGATCATGACCTGAGCTGAAGTTGGATGCTCAATTGACTGAGCCACCCAGGTGCCTCCCCATATGCATTTCTTCTATAAAAAGTGGGGTTTTGGCTTTTCATAAATCTGTTGATTGCCAATTTGTCTCCATTGCTCTTTTTTAAGAAAAAAACTATCAGGAAATTGTACTGCTATAGGTTCTAGTACAAGTGGAGAGGCATACTGTGTTTTATATAGAATATCTTAAAAATGTTAATCGTGCCTAAGTTAATGTGTAAATTTAATATCCCAATAAAAATACTAAATTTTTGGTTTTGTTTCAGTATTTTTGGTTTTATTTTGGTACTAGACAGATTATATATATGTTTATGTTTATTATTATTTTTTAAATAGTGATTTAAAACTGGAAAAGTAAACAAGAAAGGTTAGGAAAAGCAGTGGGGTTGATGGGTGGCAGTTCCTATCTCTATCAGATGTAAAAATATGAAGTTTCAGTAGATAAAGTACCTTGAGACTAATAGACTGTTGGAACTGAATAGAAAGTCCAGAAATAGACCAGAGTAACATGGCTATTTCATAAAAATATGCCAAAGATACAGTTTTAAGTCAGTGGGGGAAAAGAAAGACTACTAAATGTGGCAGGGCAGAAAGAAGCAAAATAATACTGGGAAAAAGTTGGATATATACTTGAACACTGTATACTGCAGTAATTTCCATATGGATCACAGATAAAATATCAAAGAAATTCATAAGAGTTAAAACAAATTCCTTTATAAATTTGGAATGGAAGAGACCTTTTTAACTATTAATAAGTCAAAAATATGAAAAAAATTGATAATTTTGACTTATGAAAACCCATGAAACTTCTACGTGGCAGAAACCACTATTAACAAAGCCAACAGATATATGATAAACAGAAAATATATTTCTGACTCTTAGCACAAAAGAGCTTATCTTTCTACTATATAGAAAAGTCTCCAAAAATGATAGAGGAGAAAACCCAACACCCTAGTGGAAGAACAGGCAAAAGATCTGGCTAGTTCAGAGAAAAGAATACAAATAGTTCTTCAACATCTGAAAAGATGTCCAGTCTCATTTATAATAACAAATTAGGGGCACCTCGGTGGCTCAGTCGGTTAAGCGTCTGACTTCGGCTCAGGTCACTATCTCGCGGGTTGTGAGTTCGAGCCCTGTGTCGGGCTCTGTACTCACAGCTCAGAGCCTGGAGCCTGTTTCAGATTCTGTGTCTCCCTCTCTGCCCCTCCCCCACTCACGCTCTGTCTCCCTCTGTCTCAAAAATAAACATTAAAAAAAAAGTTTTATAATAACAAATGCAAGTGAAAAATATTTTTAGAGACTGTTATTCACCTGTCAGATTGTTATGTGGTACTACTGGAAAGTCTCTGTAGTTAAATTCGATACAGTGGTGGAAAACTATGAGAAAATGTGATTTTTCATCATGAGAGAAGTTCTTGTAACCAACCGCTACTTGATCAGTTTGCTAGATTGTAGTATGTATAGTTTTTGTCTACCTTTTTTTTCTTAAGTTTATGTATTTTGAGAGAGTGAGTGAGCATAAGCTGGGGGGGGAGGGGCAGAGAGAGAGAGAGAAAGAGAGAGAGAGATGATCCCAAGCAGGCTTCATGTTGTCAACACAGAGCCCGATGCAGGGGTCGATCTCACAAACCATGAGATAAAGACCTGAGCTGAGATCAAGAGCTGGTGGCCCAACCACATGAGCCACCCAGGCACCCCTGAAGATTTTATTTTTAAGTAATCTCTGCACCCAACGTGGGGCTCAGACTCACAACCCTGACTGAGATCAAGAGTCACACACCATACCAACTGAGACAGCCAGGTGCCCCTAGGTTAATTTATTTAACGAATACTGGGAAAGTTTAGTTTCCAGTGCTCATTTCTTTGGAGTTAAAAGATTGTATTAACATAAGGGTTCTGGGGCGCCTGGGTGGCGCAGTCGGTTAAGCGTCCGACTTCAGCCAGGTCACGATCTCACGGTCCGTGAGTTCGAGCCCCGCGTCAGAGTCTGGGCTGATGGCTCAGAGCCTGGAGCCTGTTTCCGATTCTGTGTCTCCCTCTCTCTCTGCCCCTCCCCCGTTCATGCTCTGTCTCTCTCTGTCCCAAAAATAAATAAAAACGTTGAAAAAAAAAAAATTTAAAAAAACATAAGGGTTCTTTCTCTGTGTTTTATGTATGTATGTATTTATTAGAGAGTTTATTTTTGAGTTGGGGGAGGGGCAGACAGAGGGGTGGGCAGAGAATCCGAAGTGGGCTTTGTGCTGACAGTTGAGAGCCCAGTGTAGGGCTTGAACTCATGAATTGCAAGATTATGACCTCAGCTGAAGTCAGAAGCTTAACGGACTGAGCCACCCAGGTGCCCCTTATTTATTCAATTTTTTAAAGTTTTTATTTGCTTATTTTGAGAGAGTGTGAGTGGGGGAGGGACAAGGAGAGAGGGAGAGAGAGAATCCCAAGGAGGCTCCATGCTGTCGGTGCACAGCCCAACACAGGGCTCGATCTCAGGACCCTGAGAACGTGACCTGAGCTGAAATCAAGAGTCTGATGCTTAACTGACTGAGCCACCCAGGCACCCCTCTTTCTCCATATTTTAGGAGGAAGAGGCTCTCCTCTCTGAGATGGATGTTACAGGCCAGGCCTTTGAAGACATGCAGGAGCAGAATATCCGTTTAATGCAGCAGTTGCGGGAGAAGGATGATGCAAATTTCAAGCTCATGTCAGAACGTATTAAGTCCAATCAGATCCACAAGTTACTTAAAGAAGAGAAGGAGGAGCTGGCTGACCAGGTTTTGACTCTAAAGACTCAGGTAACTCAGCTTTCCTGAATTCTGTTGAAGTAGGGCACTTTCTACATGCATTAAAGAATGATTATTGTGGCATTTTTTTTAATAAGAAAAAAACCAACTTAATGTACTTTGTTAGCATTCTGGTAAATAAATTATACATCCCTGCAAAGGAGTACAGTATAGCTGTTAAAACAGATGTGGATCTGCTAATATGGAAAATGTTATTATTGATTTATTTTCCTTTCCTTTTGTGTTAAAAATGTGTACATCTTTGTGTGTATGTACTGTGTATTTTATAAATTCTCTGGAAGGCTGTGTGAGGAGCTATCACTGGTTACCTGACTACCTCTGGATGTTGGGATGAGGGTTCGTGGGTGTGTGATTTTATTTTTTACCCTTTGGTGTTTATTCTATTTTGTGTGTGAATTTCAAGAGAAAGACTACTTTAGAACTTGTAGCCATTCTGAAAACGATACACCTGGGCTTTTGTTTGAGCTGTAGTTTATGTGGTCTAATATGAATCGCCAGGCATGGAGAGTTAGTATGGCCGAAGGAGATGAATATCTAGAAATGTAATTTCCTTTGTTTTTGGCAATTTGGAGAAGAATATTTTCAGTGGTTTCTTAGACTCTTGCTTGAATCATCAACAGCATTTTTTTTGTTTTTTGGTTTTTTGCATGAAAAGTGAAGCTTTTGATTATTGTAGTCTTTCATGCTTTTTGAAGGGTTCATGGGTAAAGACGGTGATGGCTTGAGATTTCTAACAAACTCTTTTCGTAGGCCTAACGGCACCTAGTCAGTTAATTTTTTTTTTCGTATTTGTTAAAAATCTGATTTTTTTTTTTCCCTTCAAAGGTTGATGCTCAGTTACAGGTAGTAAGGAAATTGGAAGAGAAGGAGCATCTGTTACAAAGCAACATTGGCACAGGGGAGAAGGAACTGGGTCTTAGGACTCAAGCCTTAGAGATGAATAAACGCAAGGTATGATTGCTTTACTCTGTAATCTAAAGTGATGATTGGTCTCAGGAGCAAATAAGTAGGACACTGATGAAATTACAGGTTCACTTTCTTCCTTGGACTGGGTTAATGTTTTGCCTCGCTAGCAATGAAGTGATGTGATTTGTACGCCCCGCCTAGGCGATGGAGGCAGCCCAGCTTGCAGATGACCTCAAAACACAACTGGAATTGGCTCAGAAGAAGCTACATGATTTTCAGGATGAGATTGTGGAGAACAGTGTCACCAAAGAAAAGGACATGTTCAATTTCAAACGAGCCCAGGTAAGAGTGATTATACTTTCTTTACATGTCACCTTTTTAGGTGTTTCCTGAGCTCTGAAATGACCCATGTTATGAAGAGTCATTGGTCTAATGTGTGTTGTTTCCTATTTGATTGTAAGTTCCTTGAGTGAAGAGACCAAGTCTGTTTTCTTCACTGTCATATCCCCAGAGCCTGTCATGGTGGGATGAAATAAATATCTATTAAATGAAATTGGTGAATTTGTAAAGTAGCAGTGTATCAAATTAGAGGATTTTTAAATTCTGTAATTTTTCTGTATCTGGCATGTCAAATGATTCTAATGATGACTTCCTATCCTTATCCATATATCTGTAATTATTTTAATCCAGTCTACCTTCAGCTTGAAACTAATTACCTTAAAATTGACTTATCAAGTTATTAATTTTTTTTTTAATTCTTAGACTGTATTTTTATGGAACTGAATTGATAATAGTTAGGTGCAACTCAGGTTTGCTAATAGATTATGGTTTTGGGCTCTGGAACAAAAGATGACGGTTTTGTGTTCTAGGTTCAGTTCTCTGCATACCTATAAGATAATTGGACATAAAAGGACAGAAAATCCTTTCTTTCCACAGCAGAAAGTTCAAGTTGAAGCAATTTTCTCTCAAAATTGGCAGGTTTTGGGGAGTGTGTCTAATGGGTATGCTGTCTTACCACAGGAGGACATCTCTAGACTTCGAAGGAAGCTGGAGACCACAAAGAAACCAGACAATGTACCCAAATGTGATGAGATCCTGATGGAGGAGATTAAGGATTACAAGGTTAGGAAAACTGCCTCAGTGATTTCTCTGTGTTTTGTCCAGGCCTGAAGTGGCCTGCTAATAGAGTGGGAGAATAAATACTGGTCTTTACATGAAGGTAACCAGAGGATGGTTTATTTTATTTATTTATTTTAAAGTTATTTATTTTGAGAGAGAGATTTGGAGGGGGGGGGGTGCAGAAAGAGGGAGAGGAAGAATCCCAAGCGTGCCCTGTGGTGTAAGCACAGAGCCCAACATGGGGCTCAGTCTCATGAACAATGAGATCATGACCTGAGCTGAAATCAAGGGTTGGACACTCAACCGACTGAGCCACCCAGGTGCTCCAAGGATGGTTTACTGTACGTGTGTGGGGAAGTGGCACTCTTGGCAGTGGTTACTGGGTTTCCTGGTTGGTTGGTTGCTTACATATGACAGCCATTTAAACTTTTATAGTTGATCAGATTCTGGCTTCTTTTTTTTAGGCACGCCTGACCTGTCCATGTTGCAACATGCGTAAAAAGGATGCCGTACTTACCAAGTGTTTTCACGTGTTTTGCTTTGAGTGTGTGAAGACACGCTATGACACCCGTCAGCGCAAATGTCCCAAGTGTAACGCTGCATTTGGTGCCAATGATTTCCATCGCATCTACATTGGTTGAGCCAAGCCAAGAGAAGAAGAGGGAATGGCTAGACAGGCACCTATTCAGTAACCATCAAACCTCTACCTCTTCTCACCTTGACTGTCACCTACGGGGCAGTTTATCTGTCAACTACCTTTCCTTCACAGACTTTACGTCCAGGTTCTCCTCCCTAATATAGCTACATGACTTCAGGGAAAAGGACTGGTAAAGGCAAGTCTTGGGTTTTAGAATGAATTAGAAATCTCTTATTTGTCTTCCCCACCAGCTTGTTTCTTTCCTGCTTTTAAATTTTTCAGCATTTTCTTCTTCAGGCTTAACTGCATAAATAATCGTGGATTGTTCATTCCTCCTGAAGAAGCAAGTTGGTACTCTTGACATGGAGAAGGGAACAAGAAGAGTGGAGACACATGGCTATTTTGGGGAGTGAGGGCGATCTTTTAGAAATAAGCTATCCATGGGCACAAACATTTCTTGATTTGGGTAGTAAACTTTTTGTAGACTCGGATTATAAAATGGTATAATTGTGCTTTTTCCTGGATGGTTTGAAGCCTTAATGAAATTATGTCCAGGATGATTCAGTTCATTTCCTATTCACTAACAAAGTAACTTGTTAAGGTCAGCTGGTTTCCATGTTGAAGTTTTTAAGTTTTGAATGTTCTACTCATTGAAAGGTCTTTAAATTTCTTGAGGCCAGAATAATTTCAAATGCAATCGCCCCTTTTATCTTATAATGAAATCAAGATTGGAGAGGATGGGGAACAGGACTGAGATGGTGAAGAGATCTTCTGGGTACTCTGGGAACTTGATTACAGGGAGGTCTTGGTGAGCCATGAATTACTCTCATCTGCCTCTCTACAGGGATTCTTGTGATCCCTGTTCCCCAGAAGATTCTCTGTAATGTTTCTGTAGGACTTTATACTCCATAAGCTTCAATTAAAGCAGGATTCAATTTGCTTTAGTGTTTGTGTTTTTCTTGGGCAGTAGGTGGTTTGGGTTTGGATATTGACTTTATGACACTTGGCTAGGAAAGCTGGCCGCCCAGGATTGGGGGACTGCAGCCTGTGGAACATTGTGGAGGAAACCACTAGTCCCATGGGAAGCTGGGTTTAGGGGAAGGTCCTTTAGCTGGGAAGAGCAGGGAGTGCCTAGTCCCAACTAGTTTGAAGTCCTGGCAACATGGAGAGCTCTTACAGTCATTTTGAGATAATTATCAAAAATGGTGGTTTTTGGACAGTCTGGCTTCTTTTTACAGACGAGGCCAATGAATGGACTTCAGGGATACCCATAAATTGTATACAAAATTTTTTTTGTGTTGTATGTACATTATTCATAGCTTTTTTCAGATTCTCAAAGGAATTTTGAAACTTCACAAATCCCAAAGAAGTTCAGACTTACTGCTGTAGATCCATAAGGAACTTTTTAGACAATTTGTTTAATGCCTAAATAGAATGCCAATTTCAAAGATTATTGGAGAAGTACTGGAGTCTTTTTTCTTTTTTTCAGGTCTTATGGGGGATGGTCTCTTTTTTTCTTGACTTTCCTTTGTTATCTTGGAAATTGTCTTGGTAATTTGGACCAAAGTCTGGGTTGATCTGCTTTAAGGCATGTGTCTTTACATCTTACCCTCTAACTTCTGTAGGGATCTTTTTCAAAGGTGCTCAGCCCCATTTCTGCTAGTTGTGGCATTCGTACATGAATTTCCATTGGGATTCCTTATTTATTTTCTTAATCTCAATCCAGATCCAAAGGCATATTTGTCCTTTGAGGGCCGTTCTGTGCACGTAGTACTCTATGCGTGTCACTTGAGTAATGAATGTGATTTGATATTGTGGCGATTCAGGGGGAGCTTCTGGACAATAGAGAAGTGGTCATCGGGCTTCTTTTAGACCTAACTGGGATGGTGATGCTCACTTCTTGAAGGAAGCTGTGTGCTGCTGTCATCAGTTTCATGGTCGTCTGCTGGTGTGGAATGCCTTTACGCTTTGGTTTTTAATTTTGTTGAGGACTGTCGATTGATAGACAAAGCCAAGTACCAGTGAGTCTGCAGAAAAATTTCGACTACTTGTTAACCATGAAACCTGACTTGAGACAATAAGACAGCTACATTGAGAGGATGTAGACACTGGTGGGTGGTGTGCATGTTGGATTTGTTTACACAGTAGGAAACCCCTGGTGTAGAAGTAACCTCAACATTTCCTGGATCTGTAATCGTCCCACCACAAAGAAAAATTGAGCTTTACTTTCTGGAGGTTTCTGCCCAAGTTTGGTCTCTTCCTAATGGTAGATATCAAGGTCTTATTTGTAGCATACTTCACAGATACTAAAATAAGGACATGGAAAGAACAGTGTCTTAACATAGTTCCCAGTCCCCATCAGAGGGCCTGGCACACAGCACTCCAGGAAGGTCCGCGTGGTAGGTCAATTCAGCTCCTTGCTTCTGCTAACAGGTCCTCTGAAGTCTGCTGAATTGGCCCAATGTGTAATTCAAACCCTACTCACGTTTTTTCACCGTCCAAGTGGAAACCATTTTTCCTCATATATTGAAGTTACTCTTCAAATTTGATTTTCCTAAAATCTATTACTATATTTTAAATTTCCTTCTGTAGTGATAACAAAAGGAATTATTATGAATTCTAAAACTACTACCTCTGTTCAAGACAACCCATGATAGCTAGGGTGTCTTTTGTAGGTTTAGTCTTGTTTTGAGGGAAATTATAGATAAAGTTGGAAGCAGTACATTTGCATTAATAAAATAATGCTATGCTCTGAGGATTCCAGGTTACTAAACTCTATGGGGTAGAATGATTGGAAAGATAGGATGTGGGAGCTGAAAGGAACTTTAAATAAACCATGTCCTTATTTTAAAGAGGAGGAAACCGGTCCCAGGGCCACTCAGTTTAGTAGTAACAGCAGAATCAAAATGTGGCAATCAGACCTCTGTTTTCTTTTACCCTAAGTGGAGACCTGTACAAATAAGAGTGCATGTTACCAGGAAGATAATAAATTAAAATACTTTATCTTTTTTTTTTTTTAAGTTTGAGAGAGCAAGAGTGCGCACAAGTGGGGAAAGAGCAGAGAGAGAGAGAGGGAGAGAGAATCCCATGCTCACAGCACAGAGTCCAGTGTGGGGCTTGATCCCATAAACCATGAGATCATGACCTGAACTGAAATCGAAGAGTCGGATGCTTAGGTGACAACCACCCAGGTGCCCCAAGGAAGACAAAGTTTTAAATACGCTAACATTAAAAAAGTCTTAGCTAGGTCTCTGCTGTGGACTGAATGTGTACCCCCAAAATTCGTGTATTAAAACCCTAATCCTCAATGTGATGGTATCTGGATATGGGGTTTGGGGGAGGTAATTAGGTCTTAGTGTTGAACTCTCATGCTGGGATTAGTGCCCTAACAAGAAGAGATGGGAGAGTGCTTGCTTCCTCTCTGCTTTACACACACACACACACACACACACACACACACACACACACACACACGGTAAGTGTTCTTGTCTCCATAGTACCTGATGTGCATTTATCAGAATATACGCCACATTGTTTTGCCAGTTTGTATCTCCCCACTGGACTGAGCTCTGTGGGGTCAGAATCTGCTGTTTATCTTTCTCTTTCCAGCAGCTAGCACGACATCTGGCTCAAAATACGCATCCAATGAATGACTGAATGATGCAAAACAACCTTGGGTAAGCTGGTGGTTGAATTAGATTGCCATAGATTTTTATTTGTATGATATTCAACTTGGTTATATTCCCAAAGAATGTGTGTGAAGAATGCATCCTGCTAGCAGGTTCATGATGGCAAGGTTGCCAGCCACGAAAAGTGCGGGGTGTGTCACAAACTGCAGAGTGCCTGAGACTGTGGGACTGCTGCCTGATTTTCAGCTGTATTTGTACCAGTTCTCAGTTGGGCCAGAAAGCCAGAGATGCCTAAAACAGCTGTTTCTGTGAGCCTCGGGGGCTACAGTGTTGAGTTCAGTGGTGCAGTTAGTGCATTGGCTTCCTTTTCTGTGGAGCTGGGGACCAGGCTGAGGCAGGGGCTGGGGGAGCTGTGGCAGACTGAAGGGGGGTTGGAGGAAGGAGAGGAGTTGTAAGGCAATGATCAGAATCCTGGCAATGGACAATGGCTGTTCTGGAATTGTACCTGTGTGTCAGTCTCATCCTGCCACTACTCTCACTAGCTGTGTGACCTTGGGCAACTTCCATAATGCCCTGAGTTGTAGTTTTGCCATCTGTAAAATGGAGTTTACTTTAAGTTTTTTTATGTTTATTTTTGAGACAGAAACAGAGCATGAGTGGGGGAGGGGCAGAGAGCCCGATGCAGGGCTTGAACCCATGAACCGTGAGATCATGACCTGAGCCGAAGTCGGGCGCTTAACCAACTGAGCCACCCAGGGGCCCCATGGAGTTTATCTACTTTAGACTAGGTCTAGAGAACCTGTGCCATGGGGTTCTAACGAAGATTAAATAAAATAAGTGCTCAGTAAATGTTAGCTATGACAGTATTGTCTGTTCCTAGGTAGGGAAAAGGGCAGATTATGAGAAGGTCTTCGAGCTTAGAGAGCATGCCCATCTTCTTCACTGCTGTGTCTCTAGCACTTGGCTGTTTAACAAGCAGAAGGCTGTTGAATTACCACATGAGGGTGGTCCGGGCAGAATTTTTTAGAGATCTCTCAATGTTGTGGATTTTCCTAGAATGTCTTTCAGACGAAGTCACTTCGATTCTACTTTGTGATGCCTGGGCTCTGAGTTTTCTCAGTATGTTTTGGGACCATGTTATCTCAACTAAGTAAATGTATAAATCACAGCATCATTGGGTCTCCTATGAGGAAGGGGCTGGTACCATGCCCGTATTTGAATCCCCAAAGATAATGCCAGCAGTACATTGGAAAATGAAGTTTCTATCTGAACATTTATTCCACAGTCATAGAAACTGAAGATGGAAAAGACCTGAGGACATCTAGTCCATCCACATGATTGTACAAGAAAGTGGCTGGAGCAAAACAGCCTGTTCACTTCATGCTCACGAGACAGCATTTCAATTCTTCCTGGAGCGGAGCGATTGCGCACACACAGTACAATGAAGACACAATGCAAACACTCTTTACAAACCTTAAGAAAATACTTCTAAATACGTTATTTTCATAAAACGATTGGGGACTAAACTGAAAAAGTGAAGGAGTCCTGGATTAGATGGGTGGTGTTGGTGAAGAAAGGAACAACTCAACAGAGCAGGTCGTGAAGCGGTTCTTTCTGTGACTACTGGATTTTCTGGTTTGCCTATCAAAAATGAGTTGGGAGGAAGAGAGGCTCTAAAGTACTTTCTTTCCCCTTCATTCTTTATCCACACCTAGGACGTGCGTATTAGCTCCAAGACTTTGTTGGACCCAGCACCAACACTGGAAGCCCCCAGCCTGGAAGATACGCCTCAGTTTTACTTGGTGGCTGCTCTGGTTGGCACAGAAGCAGAAGCTCCCAGCTAGGGCTTGTGCAACAGCAGGATCCATGAATAATGGAGAGTCCCCTCCAGGCATGTTGAAGAGCTCAACTGGTTGTATCCCTGTGGCTGCCTCACTTGTCTTCCCATTCTTCCAACTCCTCTTTAATGGCTGGAAGGATCCCCTTGCCTCTCCACCTCGAGGCATCCACACTCTGGGGCCCTTATTGACAGGAACCAAAGTGTAGCCCTATCAGTTCCTGATCACCCCAGTTCCTGATCACCCCGTCGTACTTGACTGTGTGCTTCCTGTGCCAGAGGAATTTCCCCTTGGGACACGGGATGGGGTGTGTAACACAATCAGGCTGTCACGTTCCAGGTTTCACTACACCAGAGCTTGGATTGGAAAAGAACGGGCCTTCCTGATCTCATGAAACAGAAGCCCAGAAGAGGAGGCAAGGTAGCATCCCTGATCTTTTTTCCTTATTAAAATACCACCCTCCACCTGAAGATTTTGATCTTTGTGGTTTTTGACCCTAAGGGGAGCTGAAAGAACAGAGGTGGAGAACAGAAAGGAGGGTTTTCAAAGGACCCTCCATTTCATGAACTCTATAAAACACAACACACTGTTTCACACATTGCAAAACACTGTTCAATTACTACCGATAAAAACAATCATTACTACTTAAGACAGCTTCATCTCACCACAAACAATTACGCTGTTTCTTTTTATCCAGAAAATGGAAGCATTTTAAGCAATGCTGACAGCAGTAAGCCTGCTTTCAGCCCCTGCTGCTGCTTGCTGCATCCTGGCCACCATTTTGGCCAAGAAGTTCCTCAGAAGATATTCGAGAAGCTGTGCACTGGCCATCTACTTTGTGGATAGGCAGGGTCGTCTGGCATGTTACCACTGCTCAGAACGCCCCAGGAGAGAAGCTTAAGGTAAACCCATTATACAAAAATCCAAACTTACAAAACAGATACGTTAGGGGATAATTGCATTACAAAAGGATTTTTTACAAAAGAATTCACCTCTGGGTTCCTTTAAATAGCCAGCTTCTCAAGTACAGTCAGAATATGAGCTGAGTTATAAAAATGTCTATGTACATTAGGAGCATGGCTGTTACGTGAGTTGAGGTACACCTGTACATCAGCCTTCCAGGCCGCGCAGAGGTTTGGGGAGCGCAGAGCATGATGGCAAGAGTCTACAGCATCATCAGCTGTTGCAGATGGGTAGGGATGGCTACCAGGCATAATTTTCCAAAGACCGTTGCAAACCTATTTCTGGGCCTGGGGCGAGAACATGGGAGGATAGGGCATTTCAAGGCAGAATTGTCCTGTTTCCAGGGCTCCCCGTTCTGTTTCATCTGTGAGGCTGAAGTCCAACTAGACCCTTCCCACCACTCATCAGTATCTCTGTGCCTACATCCACCCCAGGGCTTTCTCGGACAATTAACTAAAGTGTTATCTAATTACAGCTTAAGGAATTATCTTTCCCTGGGGACTGGGTAGTGCTTGGCAGAAACACAGGAGAAATTTTGTGATTGAGGAGCCTTTCCAATGATGTGCAGCTGTTAGAGCACAGTGCTTTGGGACCGTGCTGTGAATTCATTGTGGGCGTTCCATTTGATATGAGGGCGGAGCAAAATAACTGGTAAGTAAAGAAGTCTAGTCCTGAATGGTGCCCTGGGGTGGAAGTGGCTGTATGGAAGATCAGTCAGCAGCTGTGTGCTGCAATGTAAACTCAAAAAGGCTCTTACTTCTCCCCAGGCCTGGAGCAGCCATACTTCTTGAAGTGTTTCTTGAAAAGTAATTGTTGGATCACACCTGTCAATCACCTGGGAGAGTTTGTTAAGAAGTAGGTTTCTGAGCTCCCCTCCAGACTCCCCAGCTCACCCCATCTGCTGGGGAAGGCCCTGGCAATCACGTTCTAATGGGTTCCTAGATGCTTCCTACCTACGCTAGCCTTGGGAACTGATGTTCCATAGTTGGCCAGGACTTTCCCTTCCTGCACGCATGTCCACCAGGACAAGGCAAACAGGACAAGGATGCCGGCACAGAGGGGAAGCCAGGGTACTGGTATCACTTTCTCGGGGCATTGGGTGGGGCCTGGGGGAGAAGGGAGGGACCACACCTGGTCACAGCCCCTCAGGCATGAGTGGGTACGGGGCTGGGAGATGGACTTGGTAGTGACCAATCTAGCTCTGGACAACACAGGGGACAGTCCCAAATGTTAAAGCTTGGTGTTTGCAGGGGAGGTTTGATTTTGGGATTCCTAGAGCTGAGGCAAGTGCTGATTTGAAAATGGCCTGGAATGTGGTTTGCAGAGCATTTTCACTTCACCCACAGTGCCAGCTCACATGTCCCGTACAGGCAATAAGCAGGGATATTCCAGCATCATCCTAAGGCCACATCCATGCTTTGCTTTTCTTTATAAAAGGCACACTCTAGTGGAGATGCTTAGATTGGAAGTACAGTCCTATTCATTCCTTAGCCAAAGAGCTTTACTGGCCTGGAGCTTTTGTTCTTCAGCATGGTGTACATTTTTAAGGTACTCACCTCTTCTGTCTGTCCTGTTCCCACTCGCTCACCACATCCCTCTCCTCTTTCATAGTCCTACTAACTGTGGGTCAGGATGGTGTCGGAGATCCAGGACCCTCTCAAAAACATGGCTGTTGCCTGATCCAGCCAGTCCTTGGTCTGCTGTGATGCTAATGAGTTCACTTAATGTTTTACATACCCGCCTCACTGCCCTAAGTTTCTCTGGCCCTTATCTGGCTCTACATTCAGAATGCAGGAACAAATGTAGATGGGAGACTTGTATCAAAAGCTCCAACCCTGGATAATCCTGTTCTATACTAAGATTAAAACCAGGTATGAGGAACAGTTTTATCTCCTGTTGGTGTTAGGGCAGAGAAAGGGCTAAAACCCAGAACTATGTGTGTGGCACCTGATGAAAAGATTTTCAGGAGCTGGGGTTGCCCGGTCATTTACAGACCCTTTACCACGCAGTTTACTCCTGACTAATTTACGATCCCTGCTCTTGAAATACCCCTACCCTGGAGAGCTAGAGAGTCAGCTTCTGAAGAGCCGTGGTTGCGTTTTAGGCTATGGGATGAGCAGACTTGACCTCTAAGAAGACTCAGACCTCACCTTCCCCACACTTGTGTCCGTAGTTACAAAAGAGCATTACAAAGTGTCTCAAGGGCTCAGAGGAATGCCAGGAACTGAGAAGGGGAGCAGCATGGTCACCTAGGACTCACAAGTCCGGTTTGTCCTTTGATACTCTTCCAGCTCCGTTTTCCTGCTCACAGCCAGCTGCAGCTCCTGCCGTATCACCTGAATCTGCTTCTCGAGCTCTGAGAGTTCCTGCATCACTGAGTTCCGAGCTCCATTTAGGGAGTCCGCCTTTCCATTGGTGGTCAGCGAGGCAGGGAGCTCTCTTCTTCTCGGAGGGAGTGGGATGTCCTGGTGGGCCTGGATGCCCAGCTGGTTTTGTCCTCCTTCGTCACTAAAGATGTATTTCCGTCGGTTGTCGTGACTCAGACTGGAAGTATTCCACACACTGGAATGCTGACGGGGTCCCACATTGGACCTAGGAAACAAAGACAAATCAGATTTACCTTCCATTCTGCAGCTCTTAGAGTGCTGTCCCCCGACTGTTGGCCATTTCAAACTGCAGCCGTGGAGCTGGTTATGCATTCAGAGGTGAAGCCACAAAGCCAGGGACAGACTCCTGCTGGAGTGGCACAGGGACAAAAAGAGTCAATACAGTTCTCTTTCAACTGCAGTTCAAGGTCTTACCAAATCGGAATGGGTGTGTCATCTGGAGGGCTGATGGACCAGGGTGTGGCATATTTTATGAAGTACCTTGGATGTCTTTCCATTCCCTTCCTGCTGGTGAGGCTCAGAGAGCAGCAGTGCCTTGAAACATTCTTTGGCCATAAAGATGGTGCTTTAGGAAAAGGGAGAATCTGTTGGACTCGAAGCAGTGATACTATAAAACGGTTCATCCTTAGTCCCACAGGACTACTCTGATGTTTACTACTTGAGTTTGAGGGGAATAAAAACATACAAGCTGCAGGTTTCAGCAAAAAGTTTTCCATTATAGGGATGACTTTACATGGGCTGAGAATGACAGTTCGTGTCTGAAGCTTAAAAAGAAACCCCAAGAAAGCCTCAAATTCTTGCCGGAATAAAGAAAGTCAATAGAAATAGATTCACAATCCTCCTTTAGGCTTCCATCAAAGCAACTACCCCATCTCGGAGAGATGGCTGTACACAGGAAGAGTTACTGTCGGACAGGCACAAGAGGAGGGGGATGTGGTGCCTGAAATCCACTGACAGATGCAATGAGAAGAGTTTCTTGCTTCAAGAACAGACTGGAGCCCTAAGCAGGATAGCTTCTGATTTCTTCTAGCCGGGGAGGAGGACGGCGGCGGGGAAGAGGAGGGTTATGACCACTTTTGCAATCTACCACAGGGCAAACCTAAGTAGAAACACTCTATTATAAGGTCCTTGTGTTTTTGTTCCCATCCATGTAACTGAATCAAGACTTTATTTCTGGATTCTTACTTTCCAGAAGAAGGGGAGGACCTCCAGAGGCAGGGGAACAGGGAGGGGTAATAAAGTCTTGATGCAGTTACATGGATGAGAACAGAAACACAAGGGCTTAATAGGATGATTCTGCTTCATCTTGCCCTGTGGTAGACTGCAAAAATGGTCACAATCCTTTGTTCCTCCTTTCCATCCATGTCCCTCTCTGATGTGACTTTGCAGCTCATCTTTGTCAAGGGGGATTCAAGGGCATGGGGGAAGTCTGGCTTTCCCTCCCCCTTGAATGTAGTCTGGTTTCGTGACTTGTTTTGGCAACAGAAAATAGCAGAAATGGCACGTGGCAGTTCCAAGCCTAAACTTTTTAAGAAGCCTCGTGCACCTTCACTGAGGGTCCCTCTCAGACCCTGCTGCTACAGTGGGAACAAGTCCAGACTAGTCTGCTGATCTAACAGATCACGTGCAGAGAGTCCCCAGTCTTCTCAGTTGACCCAGCCGAGGCCATAGACCAGCCAGCTTAGCTGCTTTTCCCCTCCCCACAAGCTGGCTGCAGACATATGAGCAAATGTAGCCAAGCTCAGCCAAGTCTGGCCCAGATCAGGAAACTGCACAGCTGACCCACAGATTTCTAAGCAACTTGCTGTTGTTGTAAAAAAGTTATTAGATAATTTTCTTACACAGCAAAAACTAAGAGATACATGCCCCAAGCCATTAAAATACATTCCAAACTACCCTGCGGTTCCTTTACATTTCTCATCATCTAAGTCTCCTATCAATGAGCAGGTGGCACCAGAGCTTAGCTTTCATGGGTCCTGGGCTGTGAAACAGCTCCACTGGCTTTACACCTAGATCAGACGTGCAGTTACAATTTTACTTCCAGCCCTACGGTTCCCTTGAATTTTTCCTTCAAATCTTCCAATTGAATTTGAGAAATTTCAAGACCGTCTCATCTGGTTTACAGTTTTTTGTGTATCTGGGGGTGAGGAGAAAGGGGAAATGGGGGTGTATTGGAGACCCAGTGGGGTGAAGTATAAACCAAAACTTACATGAAATCCCAGGTTCAATAAACCAAAGACTAGGCATAGTCTCTTGCAATATCTACTTTTTTTCTCTGCTTTAAATAGAAAAGGAACAACATCTACTTTAAGCCTTTCCTCAAATCCCCATGTTAGTAATTCGTTCACCTTTCTTTTTTAACTCAAAGAAATCTTTATTCTCCAGCAGGTACACACACAATCCACCATCCCCGGTCCTCGGGGCCACACTCATCTGCATTCACCCACTAATTTATTGTTTTACTCAATAAATATGGGGCACACTGGAGGGACGCCAAGGTGTAGCAGACACAGGCATTTGCATAGATATTCTTCCAAGAAAAGAGGGAAAAAGTTTTCAACCCAACAGACCTAACTCTGGGACCACAGAATGATTCCTAAGGAAAACCTAGGAGAAGGGTGTCTGCAAATTCTCCTGGTTTGTCTGGGCAACCACAGAAATCAGGTAAGTGGAGATAGCCCGTGTGGTTTTCTCCAGAGCTTTGTACAGATATCTGGGAGTATATATAATACGGAAGAATAAGCAAAAGCTGGCTTCCATGACAAAGGCTGGTTGCCAGCATTTACAAGTGCCCTGGTAATCGACATGTGGCTCTGGGCTCCCTATGAATAGAAGATGACAGATACTGGTGTCTAATTGGAAGCCTCTACAGGGTGTAGGTTATGTTTTGTACTGACCCTTCCTCCGCCTTAGTGTGTAATGTGACCTGTGGGTGAACTGCATTTGACACTAAAAATGAGCAACACGAGCTTCCACAGACCAATTATGTAACACTAAAGTTCAGTACTCCATGAGACTATTCCGAGGAGACATGACAGCTGGGGGGACCTCAAACACGGCATCTGAAAGGTTACGTACAGCCGGGTGTCGGGCTGTAGGGAGGCGGCACAGCGGGCGTGGGCCCAGGATAGGCCATGAGGGCATGTTTTGTCTTAGCTCCTCAAAATGAGGGGCTCCAAAAGGGAATCTGCCAAGAAAAATGGATCCATTGAGTGGAAGACACATTTGGTTCTCAACTGAGGTGAGAGAGAGGTGACTAGGGATCACATCACGGTTGGAAATGGGATCACTGGGCTTCCTGTTTCTATTGTGGCTGGTACACAAATGCTTTGTCATGAGATAAGGTCTTTGCTGCTATGTCTTGTGTCCCTCTGGTTAAAAAATTTGTGTTAATAATTACAGAAAAAAAAGCCTATGGAACATGACATAGAACAGCTGTGACCTGATTAGTCTACAGCTTGTCGCTGACAGGGCTGCAGGAATACCACAGACTGAGAGGGTGGGAGGTGCTCACTGACTGGAAAGAGGGGCTCCGAGAGATAACGGAAAGGATTCTGACAAGCTAGATGCAACCTGGAGACAAGGGGATGGCAGCAGTCCCAGAGGAGGTACAAACGATGAAAAAAAATCATGCTTTTTCACCCCTTTTTCCTTCTCTGCTATTATGAGAAGCGTGAGTGGCAGATTTCAAAATCACCCAGAAAGCTGAACTTTGAGCTGAAGCTCTGCCCCAGAGCTGCCTGGAGGGGGTGCCCTGAACTGAGGCCTTCGGGCCTGAGAAAGAAGGAGGTGGGCCGCCCCAGGCAGCAGAGGCCAGCCAGGAGCTGGGCCAAATGTTACTGGCATCTTCAGCCACAACAGCCATTCCCAGGCTGGATGTGGGGAAGGTGTGAAGCTTCGGTTTTCAGATGTCATCTATGCATTTAATGCTTTTTACTTCCTATTAACGAGACGCTTTTTCTAGGGAGTTTGTAGGAAGAGTGCCAGGAAATGGATTAAGCAGAACACGTCTGTTGCATATTTCAAATATTCCTAGGAGTGCTGGAAAGGAGTAGGGAGCAGAAAACATGCCAGAAAGGCAATACTGTGTGAAACGAATTACCTGCAGTACTCATGAATTAAGTCTTATGTGTACTCTGTGCATGATAACAAGAGCTAAAATGGCTTTGTTTTCAGGGCTTTACATGTATTATCTCATTTAATCCTGACAGCATCTCTAGGAAGTAGGTACTGCTTTTATCACAATCACAAATGAGGACACTGAGGCACAAAGAGGTTAAATAAGTAACTTGCTCAAGGCCACATGTATAGCAAGTGTCTGTGACAGGATTTGGATCCAGATGCTTGACTTTAGAGACCACATCCTCATTGCTAACCATGACATATATTGCCTATACTGCATTTCAGTGTCCATGTACGTACAGATATATTTTTTATTCTCTGTTCTATTTCTGTTTGAAATCACATATACTTTTACTGAGGGTGCTATCATTAACTTTGTCCTGATTTGATCTGAATTATTTATACATTATTTCCCCTTGGAGCAGGGAGTCTCAGTTACACCTCTCCACTTTTATTATCTTTTAGAAATTTTTTTAAATGTTTGAGAGAGACAGAGAGAGAGAGCAAGCGCACGAGTGGGAGAGGGGCAGAGAGACAGGGAGGGAGATACAGAGTACGAAGCAGACTCCAAGCTCCTCACTGTCAGCACAGAGCCTGACATGGGGCTCAAGCTCATGAACCATGAGATCATGACTTGAGCCAAAGTCGGATGCTTCACCTACTGAGCCACCCAGACACCCCAACATCTCTCCACTTTTATTTTAACCAACATAAAGACACCTGGCGCTGGTCTCTTACCTTTTTTCCACACGTTTAGTCTTGAAACGCTGCTGCTTTTCCTCTACAAATGATGTGTTGAGTGCTCTATGTAATCTCTGGCAGAAAGAACAGATTCACGCATTAGAAACACAGTCTGGGACAAAGTACCTCCTGAGATTCAACAGTGTATCTTGTTGTTACTAATATTTTAGCCTCTTTAAACACATTTCCAGGGATGCCCCAAAACAGATCAACAACCTTCAGCCCTAAATCTCAAAAGAACCAAATTCTAAGTTGTTATTCTACCTGGAGGGAAAAAAGTAATTTGATAGGTAGCTTAGAAACACTCTGGGTTGGGGGCACCAGGGTGGCTCAGTCGGTTGAGTATCCGACTTCAGCTCAGGTCCTGATCTCGAGGTTCGTGAGTTTGAGCCCCGCATCGGGCCCTGTGCTACCAGCTCAGAGCCTGGCGCCTGCTTCGGATTCTGTGTCTCCCTCTCTCTCTGCCCCTCCCCTGCTCATTCTCTCTCTCTCTCTCAAAAATAATAATAAAGATTTAAAAAAACTAAAAAAAAAAAAAAAATGCTCTGGGTTGTAAAAAGGTATGTGACAGAAAGAAGAGCTGTCACAACGTGTGTGGCAAAAGGCCTTGTGGAATTGCTAAAGGTGAGTCAGAAATTTAAGTCTGAACTTCTTGCCAGCCAAAACAAAGCAGGCAAGCATTCAGAATGAATGAAGCCAGTCACGTTAGCACACAATGAAGGTAACTGTCTGTGGAGTTCTCCTGAGGAGACGAAATACTTTCCAGGATGAAGCAGGAAGAACAGGGTTCCAAGTGAGGAAACCAATGACAGTGACTTATCAAAAAAAAGGGGGGAGGGGAGGGGATGGTGTTAACACAACGGAGAGGTTGGCATCTGGGCAGCCTGACAGCCCAATGAGGCCCAGGAGGCTGGAGGGAGCCCCGAGGGAGCCCTTGGCAGGAGATCAAGATGGCACCGTGGGCCTCTGCCTCACCGGGGTCAGCTGATGCTGCTGCCAGACCTCTCCCCTTCTGATTCTCAGTACCCTTTGGATTCTTCTACTTTGGCCCTCCGTGCCAGCTGCCTTCAGGGGGCACTGTGCAAGGGAATGTGCCTGAAGGGCTGGTTGGCCTGGCGGTTTCAGTCCTCCCATGAGTGAGTGTGCTGGTGTCTGCCTTACACACAGGCCTTCGATCCTGTGTGGCTCTGTCTGCCTTGGCACCAGTGGACTTGGCCCTTTGGGACCATTGAAAATGGGGGCAGAATAGAGCTCAGTGGGTTCATCTAAAGGGAAACAGGGACTCGAAGCTCATTTAATGAGTTTCAATTTTAGCTAGAATGGAGTCTGTAGGAAATAAATCTTTCACACCATCTCTTCAGATTGTCGCTATTAAGTGAAATCAGGTTAAAAACAATTCTGTTGCTTCCAATGTGAGCAACAGTGGAAGTTTATAGGAAAGGACAGGTTGTTGTGGGATAGGCTAATTCAAGGGGAAAGTGAATTAATGGGATAGAAGAACTCCATCTTCTACACTGTCTAGACCACCCTAGGTCTCTTGGGAACTTGTCACCTGTCGTTCTGACTTGGGGCTCTGGACTCTCCCACCACTGGGAATTCTGACAGTTAAGAATACTGGAGCAGGACACCTGCAGCACTCACCTGGCTGGTGTGGAGCCAGTACTGCAGTCTAGATTTGTTCTTGATTCGTGGAAGCAGCAGCCTGTACACTATGTGCTCACCAATGGTGGTCAAGATGGACAGACCAAATCCGACGCACAGCAGCACGAAGAGTCCAGAGAAGTGTTTGATGCCCATTTGCAAAGTCTGTGGCAGAACAAGAAAGGAAAGGCCATGAGTGTGATTCTCCTCCTGGCCCCAGGCTTGTTTAAAAAAAATTTTTTTTTAATCTTTATTTATGTATGAGACGGAGGACAGACCGTGAGCAGGGGAGGGGCAGAGAGAGAGGGACAGCTGTCAGCACAGAGCCCGACGCGGGGCTCGAACTCACGAACTATGAGATCATGACCTGAGCTGAAGTCGGACGCTCAACTGACTGAGCCACCAGGCACCCCTAGGGTTGTTTTTAGATGCAGATACTTTTTCCTTGGACCCAAGCAGAGTAGGAGAGCATCCCTCCCTGCGAGCTCGGCAGCCTTCACCATACTACACGTTGTGAGAGGAATCCAGCCAGGACCAAGGGCACACTTTCCAGGGAGCTGCACACACATAGTTCTATTTTATGAATGGTTCCTGCATCTGGAAGGCCCCACAGTCACTACAGAGAGACTGAGAGAGCAGAAGAGACCAAGAATTGAGACAATTTAACAAACTAAAGCACTGAACAGTTATCAAGGAAAGAACCTTTCTCAGGGACACAGAATGAGAAGGTTTAAGGGGAAGAGATGATGAATTCGATAATTTTGACATTTAGATCTGGCAGGAACATAGAAATCATCTAGTTCAATGTCCTCATTTTTAATTTTTTTAATTTATTGTTTTTAATGTTTATTTTTGAGAGAGAGAGAGAGAGAGAGAGAGCGCGCGCACACAGGGGAAGGGCAGAGAGAGGGAGACACAGAATACAAAGCAGGCTCCAGGCTGAGTTGTCAGCACAGAGCCGATGCGGGGCTTGAACTCACAAGCTGTGAGATCATGACCTGAGCCAAAGTCGGTCACTTAAACGACTGAGCCACCCAGGCGCCCCTCAATGTCCTCATTTTGCAGATGAGGGACCTGGGACCAGGGAAATGAAGTAAAATCAGGCAGGTCACAAAATTAGACAGCCACAGAGGAGAAAAAGGAAGGACCTAATATTTACTGATTGCTTACTTTTTTGCACTGAGATAGGCATTGAAACCACAATTCACAGTTGAAGAGACTTAAGTCCTTTCAGGTTTTAAGTGGCAGAGCTATTCTATAATTCCATGTTTGTTTAGCTACAAAGACTGGGCTCTTTCTGCTGTACAACCCAAACAGCAGCAGTTACATAACAATAGTTACAACGACTATATGGGGCAGGCACTTTGCTAAGTGATTTACATATGAGATCTAACAGAATCCTCACAAATTCTCTATGAAATGGGTATTACTCGGTCACAGACATCAATGATGACAGTCAATCCTGCAGAAAGAAAGACTGACACACTGAGTGCCTACTACGTGTCAGGCACTCTTGAAGTACCATGGGATGAAGACAGGAGGGTTATGTCCCTGTTTGTTTTTTATTTTTTTTAACATTTATTTTATTTTTGAGACAGAGGGAGACAGAGCATGAATGGGGGAGGGGGTCCAGGTGAGGAGGGAGAACAGTCAGAAACGGCTCACGGCTCTGAGCTGTCAGCAGCAAAGCTGACCCAGGAACTTCAACTCAGACCCCTGGATCATGACCTGAGCCAAAGTCAGACGCTTAACCGACTGAGCCACCCAGGTGCCCCACGTCCCTGCCTTTAATCAGCTTGAGTCTAGGGAGGAAGCAAACATTTATACCCCATGATACGTATGCTGATCCAGGTCTCCTCAGTTTTGTAGAGGAGGTGGCTTGTGAGATAAGATTTAAAGTAAGAGAGGTAGAGTGGGTCGGCTCAGTGGGTTGAGCTCCACTCGGCTCAGGTCACATCTCTGCCATGAGTGTTGAGCTCACCAGGCCTGGGCTGATGGCTCAGAGCCTGGAGCCTGACCCCTTCTGTGTCTCCTCTCTTCTCCGCCCCCTCATGCCTCCCTCTGTCTCCAAAAAATAAATGTAAAAAAAAGTAGAGGTAGAATGTGGAGGCTTGGTGGGAAAGTAAGCACTCTGAAGGCGGAAGAAACAGAGGGAAAGAAGTGACCTCTGGTGCAGTGGTGGAAGAGGTTGTGAAACAGACCAATATGGCTGAGGGGGAGAGTGCAGCAGGCGTGCGTTGTGAGGGAGAAACAGGGCCCACTTAGCATGTCAGTGCTAAGGAGCCTGGTGTCATCCCTCTGCTGAGGGCTTTTGATCACCATCATTGTCATCATCAATAATTATTTAGCAGTTAATTGTGGAAGGCGTAGCTCTGAACACTTTATCACTGTAGCAGCTTGCTCACTATTCATAACAACCTATGAGGTAGGTACTTAGGAACAAAATAGCTTAGCAACTTGTCCAAGGTCACATAACTAGCAAAGGTTAGAGCTGGGGTTCAAACCCAGGCAGTCTGGCTCCAGAGCCTATACTCTTAACCACCTCACTTGACTGATGTCAGTGTCCTCCCATTTTCTTTTTTTTTTTTTTTTTTTTTTTGAGAGAGAGCATGTGAGTTGGGGAGGGGCAGAGGAAGAGGGAGACAGAGAATCCTAAGCAGGCTCCATGCCCAGCATGGAGCCCAATGCAGGGCTTGCTCCCATGACAATGAGATCATGACCTGAGCCCAAATCAAGAGTCAGATGCTTAACCGACTGAGCAACCCAGTCGGTTGCTTTTTTTTCCTCCCATTCTCTTCAGGGGTTTTCCTTTCTTTCATTCTCTCCATTTCTACCTCCAATCCTGAAGAAATAGCTAGCCAAATGTGATTCAGGCATGGGTCTGCCTCCTGGGTATACCAGGAAGCCCATCTGAGGGCAGCAGAGGTAGAGCTTGGGGATTTCAGACTCCAGTGGAGTCTCTTTTCTTCCATGACAGCACCTGCAGCAATGGCTCTGTATCAATGACAGCTTCTGGGATCCCTGGAGAAGTAATGGCTCTAGGTGAGCCGGGGCACAGAGCATGCCCCACGTATAGGAGCTTGAGCACAAGGCAGGACTAGGGAGACCACCTGAGATTGAGGCAGATGCCCAGCCCTAGGGAATAAAAGAATGCTGGTCTAGGAAAGGCAAGAGGTGTATCAGATCCCGAGAGCTACACAGGTCCCATGGATTCTCCTGGGACATCTCTGTACCAGTGGTGACCACCCATATAACGCTGACCCCCAGAAAGTAGATTATGAATGTGTCTGAAAATAGTCCTTGGGCTGGACCTGTCGTAATGTGTATGGTATGGCTATTATATAAGGATTCAATGAGTTGTTACTACTACGGTAGAAGAATAAAATGGCGGAATTCATTTCCAACTTTAACACTAACATCGTCAAACATTCAGCAAAACACTTAACATACTGGCACGGCTTTCTTGTAAGTTGCTGCCAAGATGAGGGCGACAAATGTAACGTATGGCGAAACATCACATCTTGCCTTTGCACGCGTGACTTCCCCCTCTTGTGCATGACAAGAACTGGTCTCATTTTCCTCTTATTGCCTCAGTAACAAATAGGCTATATTCAGTTTATTTTACACATTTTTCTTTTAATTTCTGTTGTTTACCCCCACATACATTTAATAGACTAACAGATAGTTACCATCTATTGGGCGTCTAATGTGTGTGCCAGACATCATACGTGCATATTATGATCTTATGATAACCCTATTAGTATTATTATCCCCATTTCACATTCAAGGAAACTGAGTCTCATAGAGATTAACTACCTTACTCAAGATCTTACAAGCTAATAAATGAAGGAGCCTGGCTATGGATCCAGGACTGTTTGATGCTAAAGCCTGTGCTGCTTTTCAAGTGAACACTATTTACAGGTATCCCTTGTGATCTGAACTCTTAATATTTATTCCCTAGAACTTGCAGATATTTTAATTCGAAATCCACCATCTGAATTGAAAATCCACTATAATCTTCCTGTGAGCATCACTGAATGTGTTTAAATTGGGTCTGAGTCTGAGTGATAAGATGTCTCGCGGCAGTTGTGATATTCAGCTGTTCTTCTCCCAGGATCATGTTGAATGAATGTGCTGTGCATTAGCTATGTGCATCTGCTCCACATATCACGCGAAAAATTTCTTTCTAATAAAGTGGAACTTGCTCAACTTCACATTTAACATTGGCCAGAGGAAGAAGAAGAGAAGCAGTGGATATTCAACGTCAAATCTTGACAATAAATTTAAGCAATGCAGACAAAATGATGGCAGTTGCAAGTGACGGGAGTATGGACATCATTCAGAAGTGCAGTCAGGGCCCAGGGGTGTGTTGTCAACAGCCGCATAAGTGACGGCAAGGCAATGCCAACAGACATGAGGTTCGTGTTTTCCTCATCCCATTGCTTCTTCTGAAGCTTCATTTGATAGCTTGCAGCCACACACATCTGGGGGCTCCAGTGCCAAAGAGAGAAGACTGTCCTAGGATTTAGCCATGGGCAAATCTCACGCATTCATGGCTTCACCTAGTCCTTCACATGCTCGTTCTAGGCCATCTGATGTCACTGAGCTACCTCTTTCATCAATAAGTAACCACTCAAAAATTTGCCTTGCTTGCTTATTTTATTTTACTAAATATTATTTGTATTTGTTATGCTTTTTTAACATTTTATTTTAGTATTTACGTTAGTATAAATTCATTGCATTGTGGAGGGAAAACATACTCCGCATACCGCACCCGTGAATATCCACTAAGTATGCTTTCAAGAAGCGGTATTTTAAATGCTTTATTTTATGCAGAAATCGTTGATGGATTGTCATTTATAACAATCCATGCATCATGTCTAAGCTATTAAACATTTACACGTGTCTAAGACCGCTTTAGACAATTTAAATTGACTGGGGTTTTGGGTGAGGTGGGAATGCTTTGTGTCCTTTTTTCTTTTTGTTTTTCATTTTTCATTTAAAACAATGGAAAGGACTCCCACCATCTGGAAATTCACTAGCCAACATATTTCTGGGAATGGACTAGAATCAGATAAAGGGAGATGCCTGTACTGTCAAATGTCCTGAGTGGTCTCTGCCCACACCATCAGTGCTCCCAGTGATACACAGAGGCCAAGACCACC